AATTTTTGTTTATTCTGCGGTGCTAGTGTAGTAAGATGAAACGATGTCTACGGAGATGAAATTGATATCAATGACCCTGAACGTCCAGAATTTCCTCTAAATCCTCATCGCTGGATGTAAAATGATCGCTTATCTATAAATAACATTCATTTTTTAATACTTATAAATATATGTACTGTTTTTAGTTCCATATTTATAATGCAATAAAATATTAAATGACTTTTTTATATTTTTTAATTTATATCGCTAAAAAGATTTAGAGAATTTTAGAGAATAGAGAATAAAGATTATACCTATTGCCGCTTCTCAACAAAAATAAATAATAGGTTAGTTAGTATTAACCAGAGATATGTAAGAGCATATCACTGGTATTAACGATTGACCAAAAAAAAACAAACACAAAACCTGACAATTTACAGTTTCCATAGCGCTTGCGCTAACTAAAAATCCGCACTCTAATCCATGAACCAAATGGACTGATCATGAACCAGTTTGGAACTCTCCGCGAACATCGAACTCTTTGTCAAAGTCCCGGATTTTTAACACCGCGAACGCCTGAAAACAGAACTGCGCATGCGAAACAGTCAGAAACCAGTCAGGGACTGTCTCCGCGAACAAAACTTATATTATTAATTTATAAAAAAAATGTTCGCAACCAACAATACACATAAACCACATTGACCAGTGATGACCAGTATGATTGGTGACGTCACGGCACGATCTGCGAAGTCCTCCGTTTAGGCGCTCCTCATGTGTTTATGTAAAGTAACGATTATTATTTGTAACCCCTCTTCGATAACACGACAGTTAGGTTAGGCGTTATTGTTTTGAGAAATTCTCTCCACTGCATTTAAAACCAGCTATAATTAATCTATAACCCATCTAACAAAAACATTCGTTTAATTTTTCCGGGTCTAAATTTATATTTATCATTCGATGATTTTTCTTTCAATTAAATTATAACTGTGTACGTAATTACGTACTTATTAAATCGATGACAAATTGCTGATATAAATATTATGTCTCAACTAAATCTAAAACAAATGTTTTTCAATTAGTTGGACCACGCAAGTAATTTCTAATATATTTTCATATTAAATTACACGTCTCTTTAATGTATGTGAGATTTAATGGGACTTAAGACAGGTGTTGATGAATTAATATTTCGTTAAGTTATGTGTAAAGTAGAGTAGATTTTTGTGTATTCTGAATTTAACAAATACGGCATTGTAAATCCACAATGCCGTAATCAGTAATACTGCAATACTTACTGCTAATATATTTGTAATAGTAGCCAGTAGCCAGTATTTGTAATAGTAGGAACGATGCGGAGACACTATTAATGTTCAAAAAAGGTGACCGAAAGAACTTAGAAAACTATAGACCTATAACATTACTAAGTGTTGTATTTAAACTACTAACGAAGATCATGACAAATAGACTAACAACTAAGCTTGACGAATACCAAGCAAGAGAACAAGCGGGATTCAAACAAAGGGTTTTAGTACTAGCGACCATCTGCTAACAGTAAAAATACTTATTGAAAAGTCGAACGAGTATCAAATCCCATTATACATGGCATTCGTAGACTTCCAAAAGGCGTTTGACAGCATAGAACATTGGGCCATCAAAAACTCACTACAGAACAGCAGAATTGATTACAGGTACACGGACCTAATAACAAACATATACAAAAATGCGAGTACCACAATAAAATTGACGAACCAATGCAAACTAATCCAAAGAACCAATAAAATTCGAATGAGGAATCAGGCAGGGAGACACAATATCTCCAAAATTGTTCAATCAGGCTATGGAAGACATATTTAAAAAATTAGAATGGGATACATATGGAATAAGAATAAATGGAGAGCTCTTCAACCACTTGAGATATGCAGACAATATAGTCCTGATAACAAATAAGAAGGAAGAGGTACAGAAGATGGTTGAGGAACTAGATAGAAAAGCGATAGAGGTAGGTCTAACCAAGACTATGACAAACCAATTAGAAATAGTAGTCATACAGAATAAATTAGAGCCGGTGGCAAAATACATATACCTAGGACAGATAATAAAGCTGAACAGGGACAATCAAACAGAAGAAATAAAAAGAAGAACTAGACTAGCATGCGCCTCATTTGGTAATCTATCATATATTCTAAAAAATAAAAAGTTCGCTCAATATATGCGAACTAAAGTATTTAACCAGTGCATTTTACCAGTTATCACATATGGCTCACAAACATGGACCTTCACAAAGGAGAACATCGACAGGATATCCAAAACACAAAGAGCAATGGAAAGACAGATGCTGGGTATCGGTCTTAAAGACAGGAAAAGAAACTCATGGATCAGAGAAAAAACAAAGGTGAACGATGTATCAAGACAGGTTGCAAAACTTAAATGGAACTTCGCCGGTCACACTCTCCGGCAAAAAGATGAAAGATGGAATAAGCGAATTCTACACTGGAGACCATAGGAAAAGAAATGAAAAAGAGGAAGACCACAGATGAGATCGACTGACGACCTTAAGAGAACGGCAGGAAAGGACTGGATGCAGATCGCCCAAAATAGAGACCAATGGATATTAACAGGGGAGGCCTATGCTCAAGAGTGGGCGTTTAAGGCTGATTAGATAGATTAGATAGATAGCCAGTATCCAGTCCCCGTGCTAGGGTATAAGGTGCCGCCTGCAAAACTAGCATAAGCACCCTTCGATTTTTTAAAATTGATTTATATTATACAAAATTTAGTATTTAAATAAATAAAAATAATAGCTTTGTAACTCTTAATATCCTGAGGATGCAGTATGTGAAACCGCAACCACAATGTAATAAAAGTACAGTATACTTCTTACCAAATATAATTTAATGTTAATTAAATGCAACCCTGGATAATATTCTTTTAACTGCACAGTTATCTGTCAAACTATTCGTCTTCTTCTTCTTTAGTGGCGTTACAACTCGGGGTGAGTCTTCGCTGCATCCACTATCACCCTCCATCCTCTACGCTCTTGCGCTTCTATTTTCCATTGTTGTACCCCAATTCTAGATAAATCGGCTTCAACATCATCCTTCCATCTTTTTCTCGGTCGGCCTACTGATCTTCTACTATCTGGTATTTTAAAAACACTCTCTTCAACACTATGTCATCCTCTGATCGTACCACGTGACCTGCACATCTTATACGGTTTGTCTTGATAGGTCTAACTATGTTTTCAGTTCCATACAGAGTCACCAATTCAGCATTGCGGCGTCTTCACCAATCCCCTGGGAATTCACTTCTTTGAGGGCCACAGTTTATTCTGAGAACCTTTCTTTCACATACTAGAAGCTTATTGATTTCCCGCTGCTTGAGAGTCCATGTTTCACTGCCATATGTAATATGGACGAATAATCGACTTGTACAGTGTTAATTTAGATTTTCTTTTTAGCAGCTTTGATCTTAATAATGTTGAAAGGGAGTATAATGCTCTATTTCCCGCAGCTATTCTTGTTGAGACATATTTTTCTATGTGGTTGTCAGCTGTGTTTATCGCCCCCACGTATTCAAACTCCTTTACTACTTTAAAGTTGTGATCATTAATACTGATGTTCTGCCTACTGATGTTCTTGGTCTTGGATTTTTGGTTACTACCATGTATTTCGTCTTTTCTTCATTTATTCGGAGACCCAGACTACCTGTTTCCTTCTCGAGCTGTTAAAATATCTCTCTCTCTCTCTCTCTCATCTCTTGTAGAAAGCGTGACTGCATCTATATCATCAGCAAAGGTCAGCAACAGTTTTGATCCTTGATCAGCAAATCCTCCTGTCAGCTCAGACGGTTTTACTTATTGCATATTCTAAATCAAACTTGAACAGCTAGGGTGACTAAGGGGCCCTCTGCCTAAGTTCTGAAATTATACCAAATGGCATCAATGTTCTGCTTCCTATCTTTACTTGCGCATATGAGTCTCTCACGCACATTTGCGTTAATTCAACTAGTCGCATTGGTAGTCGCTTAGAATATCTTCCGAATATGGTGTGAGTCTCTTTAGCAAGATATTTGATAGCACTTTAAATGATGTGCTAATAAGCGATATGCCTCTACAGTTTCGGAATTGTTCTTTGTTTCCTTTCTTATATATGGGAATTATAAGTCTTCCATTCCAATTATTAGGCATTTTCTGTTGTTTCCATACTGTCAGAATGATGTTATACAATTTTTAATGTAAAAGGTTTCTTCCTTTTTTTAACAACTCTCCATTTATGCCATAATTTCCTGATGCTTTATGGTCTTTCAGAGACGCGATCGCATTCTTAAGTGTTGGTGCTGGTATTTCGATATCTGGAGAATGAAACGTATTATCTGCTTCCCCGTCTCACATTCAATATTTAGTAAATTCCGAAAGTATTCCTTCTATCGTTCGACGATTTCCGTTTCTATCATTATACGTTCACCTGCTTCATTTCTCATAGGCTGTGTTACCCTAACACTTGCACCTTTTCTGACTGATTTCACTTCACTAAAGAATTTCCTTATTTGATTTCTCTCGCCACTTATGTCCATTTCCCGGATTTGCTGTTCTAGGTAGGTCCTCTTTTTAGTTCTGAATAGTCGCCTTGTTTGTGCCCTTGTTTTGTTAAAATCTGCTTTGTTCTCATCTGTGGGGTTTTTGTGGGTCTTTTCATGCTACAAGACCTCACATAGTCAGCATTACGATAAATAAATACATAGAATAGATAATTGAGAAAACGCCCGATAAAAATCTATGACCGAGGGGTTATATATCAAAAAAATTAGTGCTGTAGCCAATAGACTTTGTTTAAATGCCTTCCTTTCTTTTGTTCAAACATACACACATACATACACATACATATACACATACACACTCACCCATACACATCCCATCTTCACTTACACACACCGTATCAAAATACTTCTTAAACATAATTAGAAATACAAACATTTTATTGACTAAGGAACAGCTTTGTATATATTTGAACGCATCTTTATTTTAGTCCCACCTGTTTTTTGTGATGGAATATTTAAATGGTGGAGACTTGATGTTTCATATAACGACGGGGGGCAGTTTTCCCGAGGAACAAGCTCAATTTTATGCAGCAGAAATTATTTCGGGCCTTCAATTTCTCCACAATAGGGGGATAATATATAGGTAAGTCTTTTAATATCTAAATTATGTATTTAATAAATATTAACCCCTTAACGCATGACTTTTATTTAAATTAAACAAAAAAGGTACTAGTCTCTGATTTCGATAAGTGTCTCCTTGATCTTTGCTATTTGTTGATTTTCTTAGTTGATGATTTTGTTGTCCTGATATAGGTGGAGCACCTCTTCAGGACGTGGTTTGTTTTTATTGATATTGGCTTTTGTCGCTGCTTTTGGACTCACCGGTAGTACGCTTCCCACCGAGGTCAAAGGGTTGTTGAGCTAAAGCGATCCTTGTCAGAATTGTATTATTATAAAATTATATGGTTATGAATTGTAACTGAATCTAATTAATAAGTATATAAATGTTATGAATCACGGGAGGGTAGCTGGGACTGTAGCCTCGACAATAGACAAGTATAATTGTGCAATGGGATCAGAAAACCACAGAAAACCGATCTCTCCCTGTGTAGCAAGCTCGAAGTGAACATTTAGTGATTACGGCGATAATAGAGAGGAGTTGCCTCCAAGATATTAATGGGGGCATATTATTAATTAATCAGAGAGTTCGTTGCTGGCCACGGTCTGCAATTTAGTGGGTATGAATGGGAGTTTGCGTTTAGGGTGTCTGTTGAATACATTTCCGAAGGATGAGCAGCTAATTTTAATATTTTGAGCTCTGAAGTTTTGGTGACGAATGATTTTGATTGTAAAACTCCTGTTTAAAGAGTAGAACCTCTCATTGATGGGCTGGATGTTCGACAGTTGATGAATGAGGGCGGATGGGTAGTCGGTTCGCTTGTTTACTTTAGGGATTCCTTGTTTCAATCCCAGCAGTTCTTGTGTGAGGCGGTGGATGAACAAGATATAAAGATTAGACCTATATTCAATCACCGGCCTGATAAATGTTTTGTATGTGTGTATAAGTGTACGTGGGTGTGTCCGTCCGAACTTGCCACAGAGGGCATTGAGTAAACCGACTTTGCTTCTAACCTTGTTACAGGTTGCAGCCAGATCGGCCCTCTAGTTTAGTGTTGATTCTTCCAGCTATACTGTATGTAGTAAATGTGCTGAGATTGAGGTGTCTAAAGAGAATCTCCCGCACCACCTGTCGACCAGGTCAAGGTGATTTTGAGCAAACCTAAGTAGTTCATTACACCATCTCACCCAAATTATTTACTTTGGCATTAGAAAATGTTTTCAAAAAACTAAATTGGGCCGAAAAGGGATTAAAAGTAGATGGAGTATATCTTAACCATTTGCGTTTCGCAGACGACATAGTACTAATAAGCACAGATATCCATGAACTAAAATCAGTGCTACAAGATTTAAACCACAAATCGAATTAAATAGCATTAAAAATGAATCTTGACAAAACAAAGATATTAAGCAACAGCCTAGAAAACATCAAGACAGATAACATCAATATAGAAAAAGTAGAACAATATATATATATATATATATATATATATATATATATATATATATATATATATCTAGAACATGCAATTAAAAATGAAAAGGAAAACCAAACCCTAGAAATTAAAAGAGGGACACAATTGTCATGGGCTGCTTTTGGTAAGTTGAGCTTCATTTTAAAAGACAGAAAAATCCCAATTCACTTAAAACGAAAAACCTATGACACTTGTATACTAGCAGTTGCAACTTATGGGTTGGAAACTATGGTAATAACAAGAAAAATGGCAGAACAATTAAGATTAAATCAACAGGCCATGGAGAGGGCCATGTTAAATATAAGCCTCAGAGACAAAATTCCTAACACCGAAATACGTCGAAGAACTAAAGAAACCGACATCATGGAAAAAATAGCGACATTGAGATGGCAATGGGTAGCACATGTAGCAAGACAAGACACCAACAGATGTTCTCATAAAGTGACATTCTGGAGACCTCGAGAAACAAAAAGAAGCGTGAGAAGACCTAAAAAGAGATGGATAGACGATATGACAACTGTAGCTGGAAAACAGTGGATGATAATTGCAAAAGATAGGGAAGCGTGGAAGCAATTGGAGGAGGCCTATGTTCAACAATGGATAAATGAAGGCTGAAGAAGAATGTTATTACGAGAGCAGTGTCGTCTGCGTAGAGTAAAGTGAGGGTGTGAGTGTATCGTGGGTTTGAGAAGTCGCTGTTGTGTATGGTGTGTAGTATAGGTGCCAACACTGAACCTTGTGGAACTCCTGCTGTAGAATGGAAAAAAGCAGGCTGATGTTCAGTAATTTCTTGATCACTCCAGCGTTCCAGACTTGGTCAAAGGCTTTTTGGAGATGAAAAAAAAATGCCTAGTAAAATTTTGCCGTCTTTTATACTTTGAGTGAGATATGTGACGATTTCTGTCGATGTCGTTGTGGTGGAGTGACCTTCTCTAAAGCCGAATTGGAATGTTGGGATGATATTATGTTCTGTGGTGAAGTCTACGAGTCTCTCCTTAAGGATCTTCTTAAAGACCTTAGTCAAGACGTTTAGTAGAGAAATCGGCGTATAAGAGTGTAGATCGGTCCTGGGTTTGCCCTTTTTCTGGAGCATGATTGTGCTGGCTTCTTTCCATGAAGATGCAAAGTAACAGAGTCTGAGTGTGGCATTGACAACGCCTTGTCAGGTCCCGGTGCATTTGATCTGCCACTTTGGCAGAAATGATCCACAGGTGCCATGATCGGAGGTTCATGTGGTTCCTGTGGATTGAAGGGGGTCGCGAATCGTCTTGTTATGTGTCTCTCGGTTCTTATACCGATTTTGTGGTCAAATCTGGAGTCATCGGGGGTGATTAAGGTGTTTTGTAGATGTGTTTTAAAGGTATCGGCCTTCTGTTGATCTGATTTGATTGTTCACCACAAGGTGAGAAGGTTTATTGGTTTTCTGTTTAGTTAGGATTTTAAATTTGGACCAGAATGCAGCGCCGTTACTATAATGAACACTAGAGGTAGCTGCTTGCCATTAATTGGCTTGCAAATTATTAGCCTGTAGTTTGATCACTCCAGAGAGGCGGTTATATTCTGTTTTGATTAGTGGGTTGCGGATGCGTTAAAACTGACGAAGGAGTCGTCTCTTTTGATTGATTTTGTTAATTATGTGAAGAGGAAGTGGCGGTTTTCTTGGGTTAATGGCCCTATTGGGGACTGATATCTCAATTGCTTGATTTATTAATTCGTTAATAACCGTGATACCATGATTGATATTATCAGGATAATTTAAATTAGCTAACTGTGGAATAGTAGCTGACAAAAAGTCTTTGAAAAGGTTCCAGTCGGCTTGTTTGTAGTCTCTTATTGTTTGGGGAGGATTACGGGATAGATTTAGTATCCGTTCTTTAACCAGTAATAAGTACATACTATATGATGGATGGACGACATGCCCATGAGACCCATAAAAGTCGATTCACAGTTACGAATTCGATGTAGGGGAAGGTTAAAGAGCAGGTCTGAGGGAAGGATGCCTGCAGGGTTATTTACCGTGTTGCCAAATTGTTCGTGCCTTAGCCTGTAACTTCAAAATGTCTCATATTTATACATTTCCTTTTTTGTCGATATGGTCATTTTCAGATCAGTTGGTCAATGGTAAAAATTGTAGAGGTTTGAGGCGGGGCAATGAGCATCGAAGTGCGTATTAGTCCACGACCAAGGACGCGATGACGGTGAAAGGGTGGAAGCCAGTTTACTTCAAGCATCAGCGTTACTTTCAAAACCAAAATTATTTAATGCGGAGTACCTATAACCCGGAATACCACAGAAAGTATATAAATATATATTTGGAAATTTGTTTGGAAGTAGTTATATAATTTTATTTCTTTTTTTGTTTCTTACATCAAGCTATATTTTTGCATTTTAGGGATCTTAAATTAGATAATATACTATTGGACTTTGACGGGCATGCCCGATTGGCAGACTTTGGAATGTGCCAGCTTCAAATATTTTTGGATAGGATGGCTGAATCATTCTGTGGAACCCCTGATTATATGGCTCCAGAGGTATGTACTAATAACACAAATAAATAGTAATTTCTAGAAGTTTATTTTCAAAAGATAAAAAGAAATCATAAAAAGACTTATAATTGGTTTTATTGTAATTTGGAAGGTCGGTTTCGGACTCTAAAATTTCAGTCCATCTTCAGGTCCCCAGTAAAATATTAATATACCTACTAAAACAAGAAAGAGGGAATACTACAGTTGTAAATTGTAGAGACCAAAACGAAGTCGTCCAGGTTATAATAAAATCAATCTGGTATTTGTACCAACTCTTTAAACTATACTCCTAATTCGTACGTACTTGTGGGTACAGGAAAACTAACATGTATTAAATTTTTTGTATCTCTAGTTCTAGTTCACAATACAGCGTCCGATTTTTTTTACAGATTATCAAAGGACAACATTATAATCAAGCAGTAGACTGGTGGTCGTTTGGTGTTCTGTTATACGAAATGTTCCTCGGCCAATCTCCTTTTAGCGGTTGCGACGAAGACGAACTTTTTTGGTCGATTTGTAATGAGAAGCCAGTATTTCCAAAGGAGCTCTCTACTTACGCAACAGATATTTTAACCAAGGTAATATAGTAAAGCAGTGATTCTCAAACTGTGGGGCACGCCCCCTAGGGGGCGCGGTATTATGAATGGGGGGAGGGCGTGAGCCTATTCGAAAAAAACATCAACAACATTGATTAATTTACTAAAATCAAAGCAAAACAAAATTCTAACAAAATAAAAAATAAAATAAACATGGACACTAATATAACAGGTATAATTCTAAAGAGCACTGAACACTAGATTATGAACGAAGTTTAATAATAAATCAGTGACTTCCTTGATCTTGTTTTGTAGATCAAAGTTTATCAAAACGGGGTGAAATATTAGAAATAGGCGTTCTCAGTTCTTTTTCTATATTTAGCTGAGACTACATTTGGTGTTTAAAGTAGCCACCGCAAAAAATCCTGTTTCGCAAAAGTAGGATGTTAAAAATGGTAATAGTATACAGAATGCTCTGGTTTTCAGTGCAGAAAACTCATCATTTACTCCTGCCCAAAATTCAAAGGGGGATTTATTATTAAACTGTTTTTGGATTTCATCATTTGCCGTTAAGTCAATGAAGGTTTCCTCTTCGGCAGTAGAGAGCCCTTCCAGTGTAATTTGGAATGGATTCCTAACCCACTCGTAACTACGTATTAATTTGTCGTCGGCAAAAAAATATCTTTCAAAATTTTTAGTCAGCATCGCTAAATGATTTTCAATGGTTACAAAAACAACTTTCACGTGTCGTTCTTCAACCTTGTAAGTTTTAATACATTCATCCACATTTGCAAACATTTCTAGGTTTTTTTGCTTTAAATTTCTGCTTCACAATTCCAATTTTTTACAAAAACCATTAACTTTATCACTCGTATCCAATAGATGTGTATTGGCTCCTTGAAGCTGAATGTTCAAAATATTTAGTTTCTCGAATATGTCAACCAAGTAGCTCAATTTTATCAAAAATAAACTATCTCAAAATATCTGGGCTTCCGTTCTATTTTCTTCTTCTAGGAAAATAGCGATTTCATGTATTAATTCAAAAACACGTTGTAAAAATTTCCCACGTGATAACCATCTTGCCCAAGGTCAGGGTAAAGTTGGAGAAAATGTCGGTGAATATGGCTTAGGTAATAGAAATGAAAGGGTGATCGTTTAGTTCAGTTTTGTCAAAGCTACGATTTAATAATAACTAATACATTCTTTAAACTACCCCCAAGGCGACTATATACGTGGACGTCACCTCAACATACACTAGAAAAAGTGGTCAGAAACCAAATAGATTACATATTGGTGACAAAAAGATACCGTAATGCCGTAAAATCTACTAAAACTTTCCCTGAAGCTGATATCGGTTCGGATCATAATCCAGTAGTATCTGTGATAGAAGCTAGACCAAAGAAAATAAGAACATCTACGACAAACAGTGCGAGAAGAAATAAACACCAGCCTCAGTGTAGCAGAAAGCCAAATCCGCAGAACAGACAACATAGATGAAAAACTTAAGTATATAAATACTATAATAAGAACTACGGGAAAGAAACACCTAACTAAATCTGCAAAGAAACATAAGGTGTGGATGACACCAGACATTCTAGTACTAATGGATGAAAGACGTAAAATGAAGAATAATGCAGAAAAATACAACGAGGTTGATAAGAACATAAAGCAAAGAATAAGAAATGCCAAAGAATCATGGATTACACAACAATGTGTAGAAATGGAAAACTATGAAAGAAAGTATGACACGTTCAATATACATAAAAAAGTAAGAGAATTTACAGGAACCCAAAGAAGACGTCAAATAAGTTTGCTTAAGAACAAGGATGGAAAGACTATTATAGATTTAACAGAGAAAATTAATAGATGGAGTGAATACATAAGAGAATTATTTGAGGACAACAGAAATAACATTGTTCTGATATATGGCGAAACGGGACCTGAAATTCTAAAATGTGAAGTAGAAATGGCACTTAAAAATTCCAAGACTGGGAAGGCAAATGGACCGGATGAGGTTCCTACCGAATTGCTAAAGCTCTTGAATGATGAATCAATAGGTATAATATTGCACTTATTTAATACAATATACAATACTGGCATTATACCTCAAGAGTAGCTGTTGTCTACATTCGTTACACTGCCAAAGAAATCTAATGCTAAAGAATGTTCAGAACATCGAACAATATCTTTAATGAGCCACCTACTAAAGATATTTCTAAAAATCATCCACAACCGAGTTTATCAAAAGTTGGAGTCAGATATTAGTAATACACAGATGGGGTTCAGAAAAGGGCTTGGTGCTCGAGAAGCTCTCTTCGGTTTGAATGTCCTCACACAAAGATGCCTAGACGTTAATCAGGAGGTACATACGTGTTTTATCGATTTTGAAAAAGCGTTTGACAGAGTACGCCATGATAAGCTTAGAGAGATTCTTGAAAGGAACGACATAGATTATAAAGATCTGCGAATAATTCTCAATCTATATTGGAATCAGAAAGCTAACATCAAAATAGAAACTGAAACATCACAAGCAATAGAAATACGTAGAGGAGTACGACAGGGTTGCATTTTGTCACCTCTGTTATTTAATGTATATAGTGAAAGCATCTGTCAGGAAGCTCTTTTACAAGCAAACGGAGGAATCGTAATTAATGGAGAGATTGTAAATAATATTCGATACGCGGACGACACTGTACTAGTTGCAAGAACAGTAGAAGAATTACAAAGATTACTTACAGACATAAGTATTGCTTGCAACAATTATGGTATAAATATCAATATTAAAAAAACCAAGTATATGGTCTTCAGTAAAAACATGACACAACCAACGTATATTAGTATAAACGGCACTCAAGTTGAAAAAGTATCAAACTACAAATACTTGGGAACTTTAATAAACGAAACTGAAGACCAAAACAGTGAAATAAAAGGACGTAAAATTGCCAGGGCCACCTTCATAAAGATAAGAAAATTCTTCTGCAACAGAAATATAAGCATCCTTCTACGATTAAGAATGCTGAGAGGCTATGTATTTAACACGCTATTATACGGTGTAGAGGCCTGGACTCTCAAACAGAACAACATGAAAAATATTGAAAGTTTCGAGATGTGGTGCTACCGTCGAATGCTGAAGATTAGTTGGGTTGAAAGAATAACAAACTGTGAAGTAATACGTAGAATAGGAAAAGACCCAGAGACCCAAAGCGAAGAAAACTCGAATATTTTGGTCACCTGATGAGAGGACATAAATACGCATTACTTCAAAATATAATGCAGGGAAAAATAGAAGAAAAACGGAATCCAGGCCGTAGAAGAATGTCATGGTTGCGGAATTTGAGAGAGTGGTTTGGCTGCACCACTAATGAACTCTTTAGGTCAGCCGTAAACAATGTCAGAATAGCCTTGATGATTTCCAATCTCCGATAGGAGTGGCACAAAAAGAAGAAGAACCATCTTGCCTCACACTAAAATAATAATGCTGAATGTAATGCACCCATGTCTATACAAAGTGCAGAAAAGATTCTGGTTTTCAAAGGTCTCATTTTTATGTAATTAACTACTGTTACAACCGTTGTTAACACAATATTCAGGCCAGGAGACATTTCTTTGGAAGCCAGAGCTTCTCTGTGGATCATACAGTATGTCCATATACACATTGGAGACTTTTGTTTCACAAGCGCTTGTAGACTATGAAGTTTTCCGGACATTGCACGAGTACCATCTGTTCATATTCCGACGCAATTCTTCCACTCTATTTTTGCTTCATTTATATAATCGTTTAAGATATCAAATAATGCGAGCGATGTTGCTTTCAGTTCTATTGGTTTGCAAAAAAGTAGTTCTTCTACTAATGATATGCCATCACAAAATCGAACGTAGGCAATAAAATGAGCATCTTTGTTGCTATCTGTTGCCTTATCAAGCTAAATCGAAAACAGCTTGTCGCGCAACTTCCCGAGTAGAATGTAGAATGTAGAAAATGGGGCGGCCAATAGAGTCTGATACACTGCGACCTTTGCAGATCTATTGTGTTCCCCCCTTATTTTAAAGCACTTCATCTAGCTTGGTCCTCTTAATGAGACTCAACAGCCTTGATAGTGGCCTTTTCATGTAGCCTGGTGCTTCCGGTTTTTCCTCTCCGAGTTCTAGAAACCGCATTCGTGCGAGACCTTCGCAATGGCACAGAACGTGTAGAGCGGTTTCCTCTTCTTCCAGACAGAAACGACAGGTGTCCTCTTCTGTCAGGCCTATGAGACTCAAGTGTCTATTGAGTCTACAGTGCGCAGTGAGCAGACCCACTATCATTCTGACAGTCCTGCGTCTGTGCGAAAGTAAGTCTGCTGTAAATTTAGCCGAATGTTCTTTGATGAACTGTTTGGCCTGCCTCTGTCCTGGTGAGTTGTTCCACCACTCAAGAGACTTCTGTTGCACCCATTTGTGTATGGCTGCCCTTTTTATCGTATTTGCGATTCCAAAGAAGGGTTCCGGACCAACCAGTGGCGTAGATGCGCCTTCTCGGGCCAATTCGTCGGCCTTCTCGTTGCCACGATGGCCCTTATGTCCCGGCACCCAGGCAAGTGTCAACCTGTTTCGACTTCCTACCTGAGAGAGGACATCCAAACAGTTCCATACCAGCCATGAATCGACCTGTACCGAACTGAGAGCCTTTAGAGCCGCTTGACTATCCGAATAGATAACGATGGAGTCGTTATCTACATTTCGGCCGATTAGTTCCATAGCGCACCTGTGTATAGCAGCTAATTCGGCTTGAAATACGGTCGCGTATGTTCCTAGACATACCCGGACTTCCGTCCTTGGTTTTATGCCATATATTCCAGCCCCCGTACCTGTATCCGTTTTGGAGCCGTCCGTATACCATATTGAGTTTGCTGTTAGCGGCGGACCAGTTTCCCAGTCCTCTCTTTTTGGTATTGTAATTTGAAAATTTTTGTTAAAACTATACCTCGTAACCATTCGGTCTACAGGCATTCCTAGAACGGGGTCTGCCTTTATGTCCTGGTATAGCCTTAAGTTATCAGCTC